TCAAAACAGGCACAAACCAGCCAGCAGCAGCAGCATGAGCTGCACAAAGCTCAAAACAGGCACAAACCAACCAGCAGCAGCAGCACGAGTTGCACAAAGCAAAAAACAGGCACAAACCAACTTACCTGATATCAAAAGACCCCTGGCAAAATTCAAAGAACTCATTGATCATTCCACGACCATACTTACCTGCAACAAAGATTGCAAATATACCAATTCATCAATCCCACAACGACATAGATGTTCTTCATAATGAAAATACATATTGCAACATTAATAGTTTGCAATTAACACAACAATATCCATCAAAATATAATCGAAACCCAACAAACTAGCTATCCGGCCAACCTTGGTCGTTAACTAATTTTGTGATGTACCTCTGCTGACCTTCCTTGGATTTTATGAAAAACCTCCTAGCTTCACGTTCATTGTCATATAAATGGTCTAAAACCCTATCGAGGAACTCCTCGGAATATTCAGACCTATGTTCCTTCAACCTGTAGCTAACTGCTCAGTCCAGTGTATAACGTGTTGATTTCTCATTGACTGAGACATGGACTCAACAAAGGCACATAGCATTTCCTCTTCACGATTAGATTTTCTGGTTTTTTTGTTAGATGATGAAGTCATGTTGTCTTTACTCTTAGTCTTATATCTAGTGGGTTGTGGTTGGTTAACAGCACCAGAACGTGGTTGGTTGCAAGCATCAGACTGTGGTTCAGTTTCACTCTCCTCTAGAATCTCGCAATCATCATCGGGAATAGGTATGGACCTACTAGACCCAATGTTAGCGTACACGGGCCTAACAAAATCACCCTTGGCTTGATCATCACCCATGATAACTTGTAAATTTTTGAAGTGAGGAAGGGGTTTGTTTATGTACGCTTTGTACTTAGAATTGGATTTGTCCTGCAATAATAAATACTTATAAGCAGTGAATCAAATGTATTAAATTGAAGGTGACAATATAGATGCTGAATTTGTTATACCTGGGCCCAAGATTTCAAGGTTTCCTCATCCAATGTAATCATTTTACTTGTTTCATCCCACCCAGCACCACTTATATCAAGGCAAGCTTTCATGTCATTGAATTTGTTCCTCAAACATTTCAAGTGGTTAATGACATGCAGGTGAGTGAAATCAGTCCTGAATTGCATGTTGATTTTCATGGCAGCCATTTTATAAGCTTCAGCCTTGAAGTTCTTGTCTGGCTTCATGCCATCCAATGCTAAATTTGCAAGATAAGGAATAAGCACATCATCGTGCTCTGGAAGCCAAAACTTATTAGCCACGCCTCTTGAGTTCAACCTGGCACACGGAACTTTTTTTTATGGGCTAATCTTTTCCCTCTTTTCAATGGAGAAGTGTGCTCTGCACCATCAACGTCATGAATATCCTTTCCACCTGAATCACCAGTGTTCGGTGAAAATTGATTAGGTCCACTACTTTGAGAACTGGCTGTGGGAAACATCAAACCTTGTGGACTGCCTAACAAGCTCATGTATGACATTGGCGGCTGTGTCATCCCACCATAATTACCATCCCATGGTGGGAATGGTGAGAAAGTATGCGGAGGTGAGGTGAATGGCTGTGGTCGAGCAGGCATGTAGTTCATGTTAATCCCTGATGTAGGATTTGGCATTGCATTCGAATGAGAAGGCACACTTTGCTTATCTGCCGGATTGTTAGCCATACCTAATAAATTTTGAAAGCATAGCCATATTAACAATAAAGAAATATAAAACAATATGGGATATGTATGTATTTATCAAGGAATATACGAAACGATGATATTTCTAGTTCAAACAACATAACAAAAGAGCAAGTGATAAAAGTAGTAATGGTTTGTTACAAGCAAAGAAACAATAAAAGATAACGATGCGAACAGTATGTTAAAATTCACCAAGTTCTTACATAGCCATAGGACAAATACTACACTAAGTTAAACCGCTCTCCATTGTGTTACCACCATTGTACTTTGCACAATAATCCACCCACATCGCCCAAGCAATTTGATCTCGTAACTCCTTCGTGACCTACTTTGAGTATAGTCCACCACATTTGAATCGTCCTCATTTGTCTCTTCCCCAGTATCTTCATTAATTTCAACATTTTCATTTAAAATATCATCATCCGGATCCTCCAAGGCAATAAAGTTGTGCAACATAGTACACGCTAGTACAATGTCCACTTGAGCGGGAAATGGATAATTCGGCTTCCCTGTAAGAATTTTAAACCGATTCTTCAGTATCCCAAATGTGCACTCAATTTTTGATCTTAAAGATGAATGCCTTAAATTGAACAACTCCTTCCTATTCTTTGGTGTCCTACCGGTGTGCTCTTTTAAATGATATCAAACACCGCGATACGGGGATATGAAACCTGGCATTGTGGTGTATCCAGCGTCACATAGGTAATATTTACCTACATTAATTAAACAGTATTTTAAAATCTCAAATATTGCCAAGTATTTAATATATTATTCATAATGTGCACAAGTGAGAATGAATACCATCATAAACTCGGAGCCCGTAAGGCTGTGGTCTGGACAGGGCGTCTTGTAATACCCTATAATCATTTGCTGCCCCCTCCCAGCCAGCCAAGACATAAGTAAATAGTTTATTGGGGGTGCAGGCTGCTAAGATGTTTTGGGTGACCCCTTTTCGCCCTCTAAACCGTGCAACTAGGTCACTAGGTAACACCGCGTCGACGTGTGTGCCATCTATCAAACCAATGCAGTCCTATAAAAAATTATAAATTATACATAGTTAAAAAAAATAAGTTTATTTGGAAAATTGTTAAGTTGTATGTATTTAATTTACCTTAAAGTAAGGAAAATAATTTGAGTTGTTTGCAATCTCCTCGGGAACTTCTTTTGGGGCTTGCTTCATGTACCGATCACGTAATCCATTCATTGCTTGTAAGACTTTATTGAAATATCTGCTAACTGTTTTCCCTGATCTTATGAACTCAGTTCTTATTATTCTATTTTTAGTTTTGTGCCCAAAAATACTCAGGAACATAGCAAGCTGTTCTTCAACTTGAACATGTCTTATTTCTTTTAATAAACCGTTTGCTTTCATTACTTCAACAAGTTTAAAAAAGGCCCTCGGTCTCATTCTAATATAAGATTGGCAGCTATCTTGATAGCCCTCCAGTACACGTCTGAAGTGAGCCTTTCTACAATATATTTTTTTGATCCTTTCTTGCTTCGTACAATTTGATATTCTCTTGCGCTTAGCACGCATTCTCAAAATACATGTTACCAAAGTGACCACGGCACAGACAACTGTATTAGCACACATCCTCTTCAATTCTTCCTCATCTTCTATATCCATCTACATCTGTTTTAAAATTATCATACAGTTACAGCTTAAGATGGCTACTTATTTCTTGTCAAAATTAAGTACATAATTGATACAAATATTTATTTCTTTTAAAGCAAGAAATCTAATTGAAATGAAAATTATTTTAACTAATGTTGCATTCCATCTCACACAATCATCAAGAAGCAAGCTAGACCCAAAACAAACAAACTATATGGTTAGATTACTAATAATTTACACACACAAAAAAAAAGAAAATAAAAGAAAAAAAAAACAGCAATTTCAGTTATTAAAAGGCTGATTTGAAACATATTATTTGAGGGCCTTATTTAGATTTATGAAAGATTTGTGCAAGAAAGAGATCTTGAAAATAACTTCCATTTTCTTTTCATGTCGTTTATCTATCTAACAACCTAATTCTTGCACATTTACACAAAACCCACACAGACACCCGCATGAATTGTTTTTCTGTAATATTATGAAATTAATCTCTTAAATCAGTGAAATTGCTATCAGCCTATATTTCTTGGTTGTTGCAAAATTAAAATTAATTCCTCAAATCACTGGAGAAATAAAGTTGTAAATAAGAGGGGAAAAATTTATACTTGGCTGCAGAGGGGGAAAAATGCCGACGTCCAAGCAAAAAAACCCACCGAAGTCAAAGAAAACACTGTAGCCAACAATCACACTCGAACCAGAACAAGATCGAGAAGGGATCACCAAGAATCGAAGGCAAGAAACCCACTCGGTGCTCGTGGAAAACAAATCTAGGGTTTCGAGTAAAAGCCCCGACCCCAAGCAGAAGAAGACGACGCGTGCTAGAAGAGGCGCGAAGAAGAGGGCGATGAGGCGGGAGCAGAACAGCGATTCCAGATCTAGGGATCGAAATCGTGAGGATTAGGAATCGGAATCGCGATTGAAGATCGCTGTTAGAAATCTCGCCCAAATCCACTGCATAAGCTCGGATTTGGGTTTCTATAAAAAACCGACACTGTTGCTACTTTATGGAAATTGTAATCCTAAAATTTTTGCTGAGCCAAACTCCAGAATAAGATTCACAAAGAATCCAAAAATTACAATTTTGCCACTGTCAGACCTCAAATACTAATCCTATTCTATAAACTGGTGAAACAAACAGCCCCTTAGAGTACATAATTTAATGCATTCGGTTGACGACATGCTCCTGAATCTGACAGAAATGTTGACTGGGGTTCCGCCTTTTATGTACGCCGTACGCGCGCGCTCAAATGGTGGTGGCAGCAAACAAAATGGTAGACAAATGGGTAGTCTATTGCTTGGCTAACTATTCAATTATATTCGAATATTTCTTAGTTTATTTAACAGTAAGTAAAGTAGATTTTAATATTTAAATTCATAAACGAATAGAATTGAACTGGATTTATATTCTTTTTTTTTTGCTTATCTAATATTCCTTTAGAAATTTATTGCTTTTGGTTTATTGCTTTAATCAACTTACATTTTCTACTGAAACAATATCTAATTTTAAAACTTATAAACATTCCAAAGAATTTTAGTATTTTAAATTAAAGATGTATACTTCATAATTGTAAAGAAATAATCTTTAGTTATGAATTTAAATGCTATTAAAATAAATAAATTCTTTTGGAAATGTAATATTTCTACACTACCACATATTTGCTCTAACGCAACGGTTCAAAACCGTTGCGCTAGCCATGGAACTGTAATCTGATTGTATGAAAGGTTAAGCAGTCGCAGAGCCTGACAATTTCCAAGTATGGGAGGAATACGATTGTATGAAAGGTTAAGCAGTCGCAGAGCCTGACAATTTCCAAGTATGGGAGGAATACTTCCTTCCAAGGCATTCTCTCCTATAAGAAGTTTATTCAGTTGAGTCAAGTTACCAAGAGATGATGGAATAGTACCTGACAACTTGTTTCCAGATAAATACACTTCTTGTAGACTCTGAATTTGGCCAATACTTGTAGGAATAGTACCACTTAAAAAAAATTCTTCCATACCAAAAACAGTTAAGCTTGCAAGATTCCCAATTTCTTCAGGTATTCTTCCAGAAATCGTGTTACCCCCAACGCCAACCATTGTAGATTTGTAGAGAGATTAGCTACAGATTTGGGCATAACTCCTCCAAGTCCCTTTGGACCATTGTAGTCCAAACTCAGTGCTTGAAGTTCACTGCAGTTCACTAAAGAATCAAGGAAGCTCCAACCTCCATACTTGGAAATTGTCAACTTTTATTTTCTAAGTAAATTGCAACAAGAGAAACTATATCAGAGTAATATAATTACATAACATAAACATTAGAAATGAAATAACATAAACATGATTATAGCACTCCAACTCGAACGAACTCTGCAAACTGAGTTACTTTTTCTAGACAAGTGGTTAAGTTCTTGATCTTGAATAAGGAAATTGTAAGATAGGAAATTTTCTAGAATTGAACTCAATCTCATACAGTGTCACATCCCAGGATCTCGGATAAGTTACTAACCTAAATACTGATTCACACATAATTTTGACCACGTATCTAAAGATTAGCTATCTATGGTCTTCACAAAATTCTGCTCGAAAAGCTGAAGATGGACAGATTGAATAACAGGTCATATGTCTTCATAACCTCTAATGCACGCTGGGATTACACAGTTTCCATGAGTACTAATTTTATCAAGATGTTAATGAGTATCACACGCTATATCAGGAAATTCTCTCGTATACAATAATGTGATTCAATCCCAATCAAGTATGGTTATGAGCCATTCACCGAGAAAGGAGAGAATCATTATCACTTTACGGCAGATCCTTCTCAAATATAATAATAAGGATCACCAGAAACATTAAAACACAAACCTACAATAATATGGGGACATATCAAAACCCAAACAAAGAAACAGGTAAGAAAAATCCAAAGGAATTAACGTTTTGAGTCACAAGCTAATGTTGGAAAGGACAAGCTTTCTTGACATCAGGAACTTTCATTAGGCTACAATTCTTGATGTCAAGAAGCTTTATTGACATTGAGTCCATGTGATGATATATTGCCTACAATTTTGAATTTCTTCAAGAATCTCCTCAAGGAATTCTCTTGTTGAAGATTGTAGGGCATGGATTTTCATATTCAGATCATGCTTTTCAGACTCAAGTGCCTTTTTCTCTGACAATATTATAGTTAACTTATCATTATTCCCTTTCCCAATATCATTCTGGAAACTATCAGAGTTCAACGAATTTCTCCCTGCATAAATGATCCCATTGTTATGTCCAAGCATGTCTCAATAATAAAATTCACCAATGTTGGAGAAAGATAAACAATTATAACCTTAAAAATTTTAGAATCTGTCTGCAGTATTAGAAAAACAAAATAGAATAATAGAAACATTAAAAGAAAACATAGTGACACTTATTTTTTTTCAATTCTAGATGTGTAATGCGACGATATTTCTCATCTTTCTTTTCAATGCAATGGAAAATGTTTACTTTAAAGCAGCATCACAAAACATTATTACAAATTAGATATTTTGTTTGGAAGCGACTTTATAAATGAATTCATATTCAGAAGCACATTTATTATTGTGCAGATGGATTTCACCATTTTTCCTGAGTGGGATAATATTAGCAGATTAAAAAGTACTGCAATGTATTTTCTCCAGACTATTAAATCAGGAACCAATTAAGAATGTATAGTCCATGCAATAGCCCAAAAAGTTCCTGATAAAAGAAGTATCTATTAGATTATCTAATCAACTCTGCACATCTAGAGAACAACCGCTACCATCACAGCTGCCATCAACTCTGCACATCTAGAGAACAACCGCTACCATCACAGCTGCCTCTTTTCCTTCCACATTTCCCCATGAAAATCATACAACCAAACATTAGCATATTCAGTAAGAACTTTGTATATTGTTTCATGTTAGGATCGTAAATCAAAACAACACGAAAGATAACTGAATTGACATAAATCCAATTTTTTTAGAAAACAAATAAATCCTAGATCGTGAATCTATATCCACACTCTAACCCTAACCCTAACCCTAAGCCAAGCAACGCTAGGGTTTCTAGTAAAAACAACAGGAAAATCAACCCTAGATCAAGGGCGGTGAGATCTCTAAGAACTAGACTGAGAAATCGAGGGGAGTTTGTAGAACCTGAGACATGGCGATGGATCGGGGTCGAGATCTGCGGGAAAAAATTCGAGCGGGCGGGAGAGGAATCTCGAGGGGAGGGAATTTTTTGGGGGAGGAGGTGCGGGGGCGGTCAGATTTTAGGGATTTCATTATATATAGAGAGAGAGAGAGAGATTTGATTACGGTCAGACCGGGTTTTACAAACTCAACTCCTAAACCAACTAACAAATATTAAGCCCATGAACAATTATTTAGCCTATGGCAACGTTTTTCATTAAATGTTGTATTAGTTACTGTAAACCGTTACGATAGATATCTAACGCCATTAAATGTTGTATTAGTTACTGTAAACCGTTACGATAGATATCTAACGCAACAGTTAGAACCGTTGCGCCTTAACCGCTATAGATATCTAACGCAACAGTTAGAACCGTTGCGCCTTAACCGCTGCAATAGATCAATTATGTGGTAGTGCTATAACAAAATAAAAAGTACCTTCTTAGTTAAATAAATAGCGTTGTAGTCAAATAGTATAAATTATTAGTCAAATAAATAGGGAATAAGTAAATATCAAATATTTGAATCATTATTCAAATTCTATAAATCCAAAAATAGACATTCAAATTCAACTATCAAATTTTCAAAAGTAACACTCGGGCTAAAGAATTTTGATGTCAAGGGAAGCACATGACAAAAGCATTCAAGCATCCCCCGGGGTCGAAACACACACCAAGAAACCGTACGGGTAAGGGCATTGGCCAGCACGTTGCGTTGATTATTTAATCGTCCCACTTGGGCGTTGAAAAGTGTTGGGTGGGTTGGACTTGTGCGCTCTTCCTGTTGGTGGTTTTGATTCTTTGCTCTCGTGGAAGTAATTTACTAATTACACTCTTTTCTTGCACCACTAAGTCCCCTCTCCCTTTCTCTCTTCCAAGAAACTTTGAGATTTGCTGTCTTAAAAGGGAAAAAAAAGCTATCAAACACAAAATTCCAACATTTTGGCTGCCCATTACCTATGGCTTTCTAGAATCCTTCTCTCTTTGCTCGTCAAACACAAAATTCCAACATTATCTATAATATCCATAAAGTTCTCACACGAATCTAAAAATGAAAGGGAAAATATAGATGCAATCCCTACCAAGTTAGAAAGCATATGCATGGCAAAAATAACTTGTTTCTGCAAGCCTAAAACTAAGAATGTTATCTTTTTTTATCTTAATCATACAATATAATTAAGAACCATGATTAATTCAAAGAGGGGCACTAGTAAAAAAACCCACATCCTAGACGGAATATCCTGGACGGAAATTTTTCCGTCTAGTTTGTATTAAACTAGACGGAAAATTTCCGTCTAGGATATTCGGTCTAGAAAAAACTATTCTAGACGGAAATTTCCGTCTAAAATAACAAAGTAGACGGTTTTAATATTTTTTTTATTTTTTTTAATTAGAGTGAGCATCCTAGACGAAAATTTCCGTCTAGGAAACATCCTAGACGGAAAATTTCCGTCTAGGATGGTGGGTTCCCTTCCCCCCCAAAATTTCACCCCAAGTTTCGTTTCCCCGCCTAAATTCTCAAACTCTGAAATAAAATCCCTAATGCTGCCTAAATTTCATTCCCTAATTTCCCCCCCTCCCTCTTCATCCACTCCGAGTTCCCCTTCCCCTCCGCAGCCTCCGCTCCCTCTCCCTCTCCCGGCCTCACCCAGGCCCCAACCCCCTCGACCGCATCCTCGTCGCCGGGGCCCACTCCCCCGCCGACCTCCTCTCCCTCCTCGCCCGCGCCGAGTCCTCCTCCCTCCTCGGCTCCGCCAAGCTCGTCGTCGTCGACTCGATCGTCGTGCTGTTCCGGTCGGAGTTGGGGACCTGAAGCGGAGGTCGGAGCTCTTCTTCAGGATCGCGGCGAGGCTGAAGGAGGTGGCGAGGGACTTCGAGCTGGCGGAGGTCGGAGCTCTTCTTCAGCATTGCTGGTAATTGGAAAATTTTTAATCTTTTCTGATTTTCTTTGGGAGAATTTATTTAGCGATTTAACATCCCCATCTTAGTTAAGGACTTGATTCAAGAACCCAACCTTTTGTTTCCATGATACTTAGAAAAACTTTTTTTACCATTAAAATATGTGTACGCTAATTCCTGATTTAGGGAAGTTTGGTGGGTTATAACTGGAGATTACTTATGGAAGTTGTTCATAAATTTTTTTTTACACGGAAATAAACTTAAGATGTGAAAATGGAAACAGAAGTAATACACTGTGTTAAACATAGTGAAATAATAGAGAATCCATCCAATTAATTTTTATGCACAATTTGTTAGACCCTAGAGGGGGGGTAATTAGGGTCTTATGCTAATCTAATCCGATTAAATGCTAATTAAAATTAATTAACAAATTATTCTTGCAAGAGAGATATTCAATATGTTACAAGCAAGAATAAGCAATATGAACAAAGGTAAATATCCTAGCAAAGAGATATACTATGAGATATATGCAAGGATATAAATCTAACACAAGGGGTAAACAATTTTAACTACAAATGTGATAGGGCAAAATGATTAACAAGCAATACCCAATGGCGATGTAAGATATGAACATGAAAACAAGTGTGCCAATGCAATCACAAACAAATGATATGTTTACGAGGTTCGGTCCCCACGACCTACGTCCCCGCTCCTCACCTCGAGGAGATACTCCACTATCACAACTCGGCTTGGAAGCCGAAACTTCTACACACTCGGTTTACAAGTTCACCGAAAACTCTCACACAACAAACACTATGCAATCACACTCTACACACTAAGTGTTGGTCCTAGCCCGTGTCCTCCTCCTCAAGTGCTCGGTTACAACCTCTCTCTAGGCACGTCAACCGACGCCACTCCTCTTGGATTCGACCCCGTCTCTCACCACACACTTCTCTCTTGGTGTACAAGTGTATTACAAAGTAAATCTCACAATAAGCACAATATAACAAATGATTGTTCTCTCTAACAAGGTGAGAACTCAATTAGGCTCAACTCAATGTCACACTATCCCACAACCCAATTATATAATGTATGCAAATACAATAAGCTCAATGGTTGTGTGTGTAAACAAAGAGTAAATCAAATCAAACTAAACTCAATATAAAACTAGCTTTAATAGAAATGATAATCAACAAATAATTATAAATAAAAGCTA